AAGGTATAGATTTATAGAAATGGGTTAATTTAAGATATAAGAACAGTTAGCAAGAAGCCTGCCATGGCCATACAGTTTATAAGTAATATAAGCGTCTGAGTGATTATTTTATATGTGGATTGTGGGACTGCAGGGCTTGGTGGAACCTGGAGAGAAGCCCTCCAGCAACAGTTATGTTTACCTCAAGAAACATTTTTACTCACAACAGGAACTTGAAGTACTAGACCTTGACCTGCTGTCTTTCTATGTGTGGTATACTAAAAATAAAAAGGGAATCTTTTAGGGCTGATGAACAATAAGAAGTCTAGTCCATACTATAAACATTGTGTCTCAATCTAGGTTTTTATAGTAACTAAAATTTGGCATCATCTGTGGTCTACAGAGTTGCTGAAATAAAAAGGAATAGAGATATTCACTAATGGCTGATATACTTCAGAATAATTCTTTTATTCTTATTCAACATTCATAGAAACTATTTGAGATAGAACAGAGGATCAAACCTAGGACTCTTGCATCCCCATCAAGTACTCTACCATTAAGCTACATCCAGCCCCCCAAGAAAATATTTCTTTTGAGTCCTTAAGTAGAATCTAAATAAACAGTAATATCAGTTGATTTCTTAATGTTACCTAAAATAACAGCTGTCATAACAGTTGATTCATAGTAAAGAAAATATTATGCAAACATGAATACTATAAAGTATGTTAGAAAGGTATTTTTCATGGATAATCATGTGATATGAAAAGAATATCCTGATAAAAAGTCCTTACCAAGAATCTCACATAAAACAAAATCATTTTTTAATAATAGGAAATCCATGGAAAAGCTTAAAGATTCAGTCACAGATCCACAAAAATGAGCAAGAATACATTCTTGAAAAAAAATCTTAGAGTGATATGTAAGATTCATAGTTGTGGAATATTACTTTAATTAGCCAAAGATGTGTTTCATTTGTTTTTGTTGCATTTGTTTAATTATGTGAAGATGTGTTACTGTTTCACCTTGCCTGCCTAAGGCACCTGATTTGTCTAATAAAAGCTGAACAGCCACTAGCTAGGCAGTAGAGGGATAGATGGGGCTGGCAGGCAGAAAGAATAAGTAGGAGAAGGAATTTAGGCTTGAGAGAGGAAGAGAAGAGAGAACAGAGGAGAAAGAGAGGGAGACACCCAGGGCCAGCCAGCCAGGCAGCCACCAGCCAGCCAGACACAGAATAGGACATACAGAATGAAAGAAAGGTAAAAAGCCCCAAGACAAAACACAGATGAAGAGAAACAGGTTAGAATAAGTTACAAGAGCTAGTGGGACATGCATAAGATAAGACTGAGCATTCATAATTAATAATAAGTCCCTGTGTCATGATTTGGGAGTTTGTTGGTGGCCCAAAAGAAAGCCTGATATAATATTCCCTGTTAATATGATAAAATCCTTATGATGGTAAAAATATGATTAACTTTTTGTATTTCTTAGCTAGAACATTCTGATTTATGATTCAATGGTATGAGGAAATATTCATCACAATGGTTACTCATGAATGTGTACTTCACAACACTGTCTTCATCATTCTCAACCCTCTGGGGAGTAAGATGGAACCTTAACATTACTGGATATTTAACTGATTCATAGATCTTAAAAACCCAGCTGTGGAAAGCCTAGAAGCAAAATGCCCATCTTGGTAAGTGTATACTCCAAAATCCTCAGAGAAAACTACACTGCAAGATTCTTGACAGTGGTGCCAATGTTAGGGGGTCCCCAACTGTCCTCTGATTGGATTTGAGACAAGCTCTGCAGTACACAATCCATGTCTGATACTGTGATACTGTCAAAAACACATGGCTGGGAAAGGCCAAGCCTCTAGAGGGGATCATGTTGCTATTGCTCAGCTAAATTGACATAGTGTCAAACCACCATCTAAATACTTACGCCTGTACCAATAGACAGGTACTAGTCTCAGCCTTGACAGCAGTGACTGAGGAGGCTCATGGCTGCTCAAGGTGCTGAGAACAAGTGACAGTTGAAGACTCAGCCCTAAAGAAGACATTTATAAAAACCCCCACTAAGGTTTGACGAATGTGGTAGAAAAGAGGGTGGGGAGAATTCATGAGTCAGAAGACAGAGAAGAGCTGTGAAATGCCCTCTTGGAACCATGATGGAGCCATGGCAGGTGTGAACACACAACAGCCGTGACTACCTGCATTGGGCCTGCACAAGACTGACCTTTCCAGCAGCTAGTCACAGGAGGCGAGGCCCACGGGGTCCTACCCTCACGGCTCCCATCTTGGCTTACCGGAAGAGGGAGAACTATGGTCTCAACTGGATACCCACGCGAACCTGGCTCCGATGAATAGTTCTAAACCCACAGCCATACACACAGCCCTGGTAAAGCTTAGTGAATCACAAAACAAGCAAACAAAAAAATAACGTGAGAAGGGGATTCGTAGGAGGGTGGACAGGGCCAGGAAGGAGATGAGAGAAGAAGAGAGTCACCAGACCGCATTATAAAAAGGTATGAAACTGTCAAAGAACAACTTTAACACAGTTTCTAAAGATTTTTTTTTTTTTTTTTGGTTTTTCGAGACAGGGTTTCTCTTGTGTAGCTTTGTGCCTTTCCTGGAACTCACTTGGTAGGCCAGGCTGGCCTTGAACTCACAGAGATCCGCCTGCCTCTGCCTCCCGAGTGCTGGGATTAAAGGAGTGCGCCACCACCACCCGGCAAGATTTTTGTGTATGTCATATTTTGCATACTCTGCTTATTCATATAAAGTTTTCTTTACTAATTTGAAGCTATGCAAATATGACTCTATTGTTACTGTTTCTCTTACCCGTAATAGGATTTTGGTACTACAGCTTTTCTAGTCAGTCAACATCTCTAATTCAATAACTTAATGATAGCCAGCAATTTTGTTAGTTCAGGTCATTTGAGAAATGATACGCAGGTAAGTCACACTCACTTTTCTAATACATTTCACATGGGCCAGCAAGGATTGCATGAGTTCACATATCTGAAAAAATTCAGCTCACAAAATACATTCCTGTAACGTTTTCATTTAAAGGCAAAATGCATACTACAGCAAAAGACAGACAGCATGTCAGCATTACCACATCAAGAGAGATCCAGGTGCAAGCTCTTATTCATCCACAGATACATTCCATCCGGAGTGTGCACTGCTGAGATCTGTCTAAGGAACAACAGTTTTGAGACAGCTCAAGGCAGAGATATCAGACAGCCCTTTCTCTGATGGGTTTCACTGGCTGCCACCAGGGAAATTTCAAAGTTTGCATCTTACAAATCCCAGCTCATGTAACACTGCCAAAAGTCAAAGACAAATAGGGTCAACTCCACAAGAGGCCATAAAATTGTCCAAATCGACCTGCACAACCATCCTGGATAATGCACTGCATACATCTAAAGGAAAATGTCTTTGTCCTAAAAGAAGACCAGGTATTCTTGTGCAGTAATAGGGGGCAGTTTATCATAAAAAAAATCCCTAAGCACAGGCTTGCCACTCTACTATGATTACTTTTCCTACCAGCAAGACGCTAGACTCTTTTCATATGAGGAAGTCAGGCTCTTGAATGTCAAGCCCCAGTCTCCTGGAGATTAGAAATAATTGGTGCCTTTAATAGGGTTCTAAAAGACTGGCATCCCCTCCACTTTACTTTCCCCTGTTTCAGACATCTTAAATTTGAGAAGCATTAGATTTGCCATCTTGAGGAAATTGACTCTAATGTCCAAGTCAGTCATACACGTAATGTTAGTGAGATTATGTTCCTGTTCTGAGGCATCAAAGTTATGAAAATCCTGGGTGAGGGCATCTCAAGGCTGGAAGATGGGCTGTCTCCCACAGTGGATGGCATTGTAACAATCCACACATTCTTGACCACCACTTGCAAAAGAAGACTTAAAAAGAGTTGTTTGGACAATGTCCAGAGCTCTGAAAATGGGCAGCTTGGCAAATGTCCATGGCCAATCATTCAGAAAACCAGAGGCATTATACAAGTTAGCCTTCAAGCAGGCTACAGATGACTCAACAAACTCAGGCAAGTGGTAATAACTCTAATCCAAGTACCAGAGGCCATTTTTCATCTGTGAACCAGATATTTCTTAGTTTATAATATCCAAATGCATTAGGAGGCTAAAATGGAATATCATATTTCTTTCTAAGTAGGTCAAGTCATATTTTACATGGATCAAGAAATAGAGGTGATAATTATTTTACCCTAATTATCTTAGGGGAATTCATAACATTTATAACACTATGTCATGGTAACATTACCAAAATGCTTTCCTCAATGTATTTCTGTAATATCAGTTACCTACAAAGTAAATTTCTACTTATAATTCAATGTACAGCTTAAACATTCATTCTATGAAGCCTTTTTTCTTCTAAGAAACAAAAATTGCTTCTTGCCCTGTGTTTATATGACACAGTGCACAGGGTCATGCTGTGGAATTTAGTTCACTGTTTACATATCTATTCTCATATGATGCTTCTTATGTGATTGTCTCAGTTTCTTCAAAAATCTCTGGGTGCAAAATGGTTGGTAAAGTATATTGGAGAATTAAATAAATAGATAATAGTGTGGAGGCTGTGGTGATTGGTACAATGGAGAAAATAACTAAAGTTAGTTAATGTTTCTGCTTTTTAATGACAAATTCAGTACAGACTGCCTTTTTGAGGGGTCCTTACACTATTTGATATTTTAGAACAAATAAACATTATTACATCACTTTTAATTGGTCCATGAATTATTAAATCACTGTCAAGTCCTATATCACCATGGGAAAGAATTATGTTTATGAATCATAAGAATTGAAGCATGAAATTTATGTACAGAATTAAAATGTACATACCCCAGAAGAAAGTACAAAGAGCCCAATAGCTTCCAAATGCACTTCCTCTGAGAATTCACCAATGTCTTCTCAGATCCAGAAAAAAAAACATGCAATGAAAATTTAAGTCACTTATAAGTATTCACTTTCACTAATGAGAATCTCGGCCACCTATGTAGACAATAGCTACCGTTAAGGGTGATTTCAGTATATTTTTACAAACTTTATCTTCAGCAACAACAATCATTTCTCAGAGGAAAATCATTTTTTCACTTTAACAGAAATTTTATATTAAAAAAAAAATCCATCAAAACAAAACACCCACTAAAAAGGCACTGTCTTTACGCTTCAAAATATTTCTACTGATTTTTGGTATTCTCTACCAGTGGGTTTTTTTCTTTTCACGACCACTGCTGCCATAGCAACCCCAAAAATACATTGCCATGTGCTGTGCCCTTGCTCTGTGCTTGACCTGGAACCAAGTAGGTAACAAGTGGGATCTAATTTTCTGTTCATGCTTGAAACTAAAAGAAATGCTGAGACAATAGGTGTCATTAACACGTAAGTATAAATAAGTATGAGAGATGTATGTTCTGAAGATATTGAGGATAATATTTGCAAAAAAATCTATATAAATACTGGAAAAGTAGCTGGCTGGTGGAAAGAGAGGCAGCATGAGCTGCTACATGGCTCAACTCATTTGAATGTGAAGGTAACCTTTATGTGCACCATAGGTCACATTTAACACAGTCGGTCTTTAGAAAAGCAGTTGTACTGGTGTTCATCTAATTAATGGTCATGGTGATTTCTTCCCTGCTTTGTCAAGATGAAGTCCTAATGAATAGGAAGAGTCATTTGACAATAGGTAGATAATATACTCACAGTGGGAGAATCCAAAGAATTAAACATGTGACTGAGTTCCATTGTGACAGCTGGGAAGGGTGGTATACCCCATACAATCCCAGAACTCATGTGGGAGGCTGAGGTGGGAGGATCTGTATTTTAAGGCCAGCCTGGGCTACGTAGTCAGAGCTCTACAAGGAAAGTTCAATGTGATTTGGTCTCAAAGAAATATCAGAAGGTATCACAACATACTAGACCTTTCTTTTTTAATGTACATATTAAATTTCAGTTAGTGTGTGTGTGTGTGTGTGTGTGTGTGTGTGTGTGTGTGTGTGTGTCTATGCATGTGTGCATTTATATACACCATGAGGTACAGGTGAAGGTTGGAAGACAACTTGCAGAAGTCTTTTCTTTCCTCTGTGTGCGTCCCAGGGATTGAACTCAGGTCAGCAGGTTTTGCAGCAATCACCTTAACCTACTAAGGCACCTTGGCAGCCCTTTAAAATGCATTTTAATGTTTAAATAGAAGTTCGTTTTCATGTGAAAATAGAAGAGTAGAAAAGATTGGGGGAAGCTTAAAAGAATGCAAAGAAGAAAAACAGCTCTTGTCTCTCAAAGCTAGAATGTCTGACTTCTAAGAACAACCCAAGAAATGCTTCTGCACTTGATTCTTTTCTGGTCAGCTGAGATCTCACTCAAATAGCTCAAAGAGGAGAATGACTGCTAGGTCAGCTCCAGCTCTCAAACATAATGGCTCTTTGAGGGACCTGCTTGTCAGAGAAAAGAGGCTGTGCAGGAATTACCAGCTATGGAAGAGAAGAAAACTGAAGAGAGACATGCCAGTGACAGAGAAGGCCTGAGTCCAAAAGAAGCCTGGAAAACCATTTGTAAGCCATCCAGTGCATGCAACCTGGGGGCAGGGGGGCAGGGATGGGTGTAGGTGGACACAGCAGGGAGATACATGGATTCACGAGGTAGCTTTTCTATCGACAACTGCATTAATCTTCTAATTCTCTAAATTGAACACACACAGATTATAACACAGCTATTACGTCCCAGGCACCAGGCTCTGAGCCTGAGGGTAGTATTTCTCAAAGGGTAGGATAGGAAGTGGTTCTTCAAGCATGGATGCAGTTTAATTATTTTTATCCGACAGTGATAAAGTTGAGATTCAGAGTTGACAAGTGGTTAGGCTAAGCTTTGACCCTAGGTTGGTGGAAGAAAAAGGACTCCAGGTTGACTTGTATGTCCTGTATATCCAGGTGGGTAGTATGAATCTAGTCCCTCACCCTTTGGGCTTTCTCTTCCCCTTACTTACTGTTTCCAGTGTTTCACATTAGCTTCTTAAATAGATATTATCTGCCTTGTCCATTTCTGCTTTGGATGTCAATGCTTTGGAGAAATTATCCAAAAATTCTTAGCCTGCACCCAACCAGCATAGTGAAGTGTTTCCTCACCTGTGCTTTCTTCTAGAAGTTTTATTATATAAGATCTTACACCTAGGTCTTTGATCTACTTTGGGTCATTTCCACTCAGAATGAGTGATAGAGTCAAGCTTCAATCTTTTCGGCACCAGTTAGTAAAAAGTCATCCTCTCTTTAATGTGTGTTCTTTAATTTTTTTTTCCTTTCTGTAAGCCACCTATAAAAGAGGCTCAGTACTCTCTTGACCTAGAAAGACTTAAAAACGTCATTCAAAACCAATATTCACATTCACCTTAAGGACATCCATGAAACTAGGCCATGAGGGTATGTATCTAAAAAGAAAGCAAATATTTGAAAGATGTCCCTTTAAAGGAGCAATGTGAATTGCTCCATCTGTTTAATGTGTAGTCAGTGGGTATGCTCAGGCCAAAGTTCAGGGCTGGACACAGGATCAGTGGCCCTCAAAACTACTCTGATTCCAGTTGCACATACTTAAATATGCTGAGTAATACTGAACTGGGCTTTGGATGTAGGTTCTCTAGTCCTTGAAGTTATCCAGGTGAAGAAAGCACCCAGGATGTGCTGTTGAACATAAGGAGCATTTGGTGGACTATAACCCATGCATCAGCTCTCCTCTGCTACCCTGAGGTGATTCTCACTGAACAGGAGGAACACATTGTTCCTAAGCCAGATACGGAGACTGCAAAGAAGAAAAGAATACCTGGGAAGACACCAGAGAAGCAGAAACTTAAGGCACCAGATTAAACACAGCATAGAATAAGTACAAATAAAAGTTATAAAGCATAAAGCCATCCTTTTATAATTCTGTGTCTCTTTGATCAAAACGTCCTTAATTTTCCTCTTTATTGCCTTTCATCTTGTCTCCTTCCTCAACCCCCTCCTTTGATATAGTGGTGTGTGTGTGTGTGTGTGTGTGTGTGTGTGTGTGTGTGTGTGTGTGAGAGAGAGAGAGAGAGAGAGAGAGAGAGAGAGAGAGAGAGAGA